GGAATGCGATCAGGACATAAGGAATACAGAAAGAGAAACAATCGAACAAACAATTGTAACAGTTCGTTTGTTTGTTTGAAGAATTAACACATGATTTTTATTTACGGCGAGTGCCAAAAGAATAAAAGACAATCAGCTGCACTTTATGTTCGAAAGTTTCTGAACAGACGCCACCCAAACCACGGTTTTTTTCACCGCCTTTACGAAAGACTAAAAACAAATGGACAATTTTGTTAATTTCGCAGGTTGATCCATGTTCCGCAGGGAAATCAGGAGACAATTGATGCAGTTCAACAAACTCTTATCAGAAATATTCATACAACCACGAGAGCAATTGCCGCAGATCTAGACATAATCCACATTACGGTTCACAAAATAATTAAACATTTGCTGATTTGGCATCTATTCAAAAAAACATACTACACACAAACTTCTACCTGCTAATATGCCACAATGTTTAAATTTTCGTGAATGGGTTATTGATCACGTAAATTTGTTTAAATTTTTTATTTTTTTATTATTTTATAATATACCTGACACATTACCATTTATTAATTTGCATCGTCAATTTTATACTAAATTATTCTGCAAGTAGATTTTAATGATGCCAAAAAATGACATCTTTATAAAAAATATTTTATGGACTGATAAAGCAATTTTTGGAAGTCATGGACACATAAACCGTCATAATGAGCATCACTATGCAGAGCAGAATCCACATTGTGTAAAAGAACACAATTTTCAAAGTAGGTGGACTATAAATGTGTGGCTCGGAATCGTAGGAGATCACGTCATCGGCCCTGAATTTATCGAAGGAAATGTGGATGCACAATATTATTCACAATTTCTTCTCTATTGACTCGACGAGCTTTTGGAAGATGTGCCACTAGCTAATAGACTAGAAATGGTTTTCCAAGAGGATGGACATCCCGCTCACACGTCTCTTGTAGCGAGAACAATTTTAAATAAAAAATTTCCGGGAAGATGAATCGGACTTCATGGTCCTCAGTGTGGCCACTACGGTCTCCGGATCTTACGCCCATGGATTTTTTCGTGTGGAGCTTTTTAAAAAATAAAATATATAAAACTGCTAGCAAATTAAGAAGATTTGCAAAATAGAATACAGAACGCATGTGCAGAAGTCACTCTTGCCACATTAAATAGAGTGAGAGAAAATTTCATGCGCAGAATCACGTTATGCTTAGAAGAAGCTGGTAATTTAATAGAACATTTGTTATAAGCATGTTTTAAATAAAAATATTATTTATCT